TACAGAAAAATTTTACATTTGATTTTCAATTAAAATTAAACAAGGTCTTCTTTGATATTCTGAACATGCTTAACACTGACTTTAGAATCCCATCATGAAGAATTCAAGAGGTCTACGGGCTAATGGTTCTCGGAAACAGACTCCATAAAGGAAATCAGAAAATGAAAGAGAACCGCTCTCCTTCTCCCAACTTTCCTGGGGTTAGTACACTCCATATGTATCTGTGTCTCCAACAGCTGTGTGTATGCTGTAATTACAATGACCCAAGAAACAAAAACATTGAATAATCTGCTGACTTGATATGGCTAGCAGAACATGCCATTTGGGGATAAAATTTTTATTAAGAGTTGAATAATGCTAAATTTGATTGAACGTACAGATAGCCATGATTCCTTCTTCTAAACATTCTGCCGAGAGAGAAATACAGATATTCAAGAAAGTGATACATGTTCTCCAAACGATAGCAGATAAACTGAAAATCCAAGAAGGATTGACATTTATCAGGCTGACCCTCCTGTAACAAAGCCCAAGGAAGATTTAATGATCATGCAGGTAAAAGGATTAGTGAAAATGGTCAAACTATTCTATTCCACCCAGTGGCTACATTATCCAGCTCAGTTATCTTCATGATGAAAATAACCTGGTAAATGCCAGAACTTTGCTTTCCTTTTACAGCCTTAGGTTGAGCATATGTTTTATTTTGCACACTTTATTACTTGTTAAAGAGACACAGTCCTGAAAAATAAGTATGGCTTCACAGACCAAACACTCTGTACTCTAGAGAGAGTCTGAAGTGACTCAAGTCTCATTCACCAGTTTTTTTAAAATGCAATTGTCCTCAACTCAGAAAAATAAAGCAAGAGAACCTCCTAAGCGCCACAACTTCCCTCTTGCTCCAAATCAAAGGAAACAGAAGGCAAATAAATAAATATTTGGAGGTTAAAATTCAAGAAAAGTCAAAATCGACCAAAATGAGATGAATGTTCTCTGGATTTTTCTCTTTTTTCCCAGACCAAACTGTAATCCCCTGTTCAAAGGAGAGTATGGGAACATGTTAAGAATCTATAAAGCTCATAGAGTTAAATATGTTGAAAATACAAATACAAAAGACGACTCCCTAGCTTGAAAATCTGTTCTTCTTGCTTCTAACATGGCATATTGTGCAACTCTGCTAAACATGTTTTATAAAACAGAAACGTAGTGCTCCTAGCTCAAACACAAGACAGTCACTGAGACACTTCTGCTGACCTTAAAAATTTCATTCAGGGCTAAAATGAATTTAATAGCTGGCATCCAGGCTTGAATAATGCAAAATAACAGGGAAGGTTTCCTAATATGCAAAGGCAACATACACATCATGAGCATTTATAAACTTGAGCTAGCTTAAACACTTTCCCGTGGGAAGTACAACTTGACAAGACTCCGACTTTTATAACCTGATCTGAGGGCTAAGAGCTCCCCCATAAAGATGACGCAAACACCCTAATGCACCGCACATTAAGCCCCAATGAAACAGCAACATCCGTGTTTAACAACGCAGGCCTCCACTCAGCAATGGTTTAAATATAAGCATAATAAAGAAGATTAAAAAGAAAGAGGCTGTAATTACTTTTAGAAGAACTCAATCTCTTCTCCTATTATTGGTGAGCCTCAAAGGCTGAACACAGGTAGCAAAAATTACATGAAGGGTTTACCCACCATGTTGCATTCATTATTTGTAAAAACTTAAGCATAATAATCGCTATAACATGCAGAGGAAATTTAAAAATTGAGAAAATAACATCCTGGTCAAGTCCATGAGTCTTAACCTAGCCATTATATCTTTCCTTGTTTCTTCTTGTAAAAGATCAATATTTTTCTCCTGATTTCAGGGCTGGGTATGCTACCTCATGGTGTGGGAGGGGAGGGGGGCAGGAGGGATCTGAATTCAACAGGCTCAAAAATGCCTGTCCTGATTTTATGATGAACCTTTGAAACTCCATTATCTGGCTGGAGATTTTTCGATTATGAAGGAGAAAAAGACATTGTTATTTGACATTATTTTTTTTTTAACAAATCTGTAATTCTTTGACCTCATGATGTATAATAAAATTTACACAGAAGTGGATACAGTCAGTTACAAACAAGTCCAAACTTCAATTATTAAAGCCAAATAAATGTCAAATAATCTGAACTTGAAACTAAAATCTTCAAATTTGTTTCAATTATATCTTTTTCCCCAACCCTATATATCATGCTTGCACTCAGGTCAGTTCAAATTATTTAAAACCATCCATGTCAAACCAAAATATAGATCAAAGCCACAGAGTTCTTAAGTCCTCTATTTCTGACTTCTGTTCCTTTTTTCATGGCCTAAAATGTCATAAATCTCTCATTAACCACCAACTGTCCTGAATGTTAAAAAAAAAAAGAAAAACTTAATTGAAAAAGATGAATGAATCGCACATCTATTACTTCAACTGGCTTAAATTACAGATTGATGTTAATAATTCCTGGAATGAAATGACTATTTGTCTGTAATCCTTGTATTTACCAACATCTTTCTATCAGAATACACACAAGCTATTAATTTGCTATCACTTTCTGACAAAACTGCATTAAAGAAATTCTACAGTCAGCATTTTACTTCCTACAGCTTTTAGTCTCCACACAGTTCACGTGTCAAGGAAAGAACCTCTCAAATGGCATTTCAGCGACACAAACATATGTGGATGAAAGGGGGGGGCAGTGTTCAGATGTGCTTTTATTCAATTTGTGCATATAGGGAAGCTATCTGATATTTATTCAGCATAAAAATATTAATAAGTTATTTATCTTCAGACATGTTCTGCATCAACATCTGGTGTGTGTATGAAGTGTTCAAGATTAGCATTTGGCCTGGAGTACATTCAGTGGCCTTTTCCCAAACTGAAGAAAGTTAACTCTCTTTAGGCTGGTTTCTCTCTCCAACCATTTCTTTCAAAGGATCATGCACTTTTTCCATAGATCGCTGTTCCCTATTTTTAACCATATTTTTTCTCTTTGGAAGAAAAAAAAATGATTTTAACAAGATTATCTCCTTGCATGTGATCTCCTACCATTCTGTCTTCTTTACTGGGCGCTGCTGCAAGGATTTAGGAGACAGCAGAGTCTAGGATCAGCTGTTTTATTTCTAGTTCTATTAGTTCAAACTCAGATAGCTCCCACATCTGTTTTATTTCTAAAATCACTGCCCAGGAAAAGTGTCCAGCTCATTCTACCCAAACATAAACTTTACTATAAATAACTAGGAACCTAACAAATAACTGTTTGGGGGAAATGGAAGTGTGTTTAAAAATCTGAATTCTTCCAAACTATAGGCCCTTAGTAATCTTGGTTTCAGAGCCTTCCTGACAGCCAGGATCAGCTTTCCTTAGAAGTTGTCCCCAGAGTGAACAAACTGAAACTCTGACCGGAAATCCAGGTATTAACATCATATTCCTCGCTAATTGTAAAACACCATTTCACATACTAACATTATTCACTTCTAACCCTTTTATCTAAGACACGTATTTGCTTTCCAATCACAGTTTGACAGCAGAGTGTATCTGACATAAGACAGTGAAATGATCTTTAATAAGACAGCAGTTCAAAGCATGTAGCTTTCATGCATAATAACTATGTTGGCTTAATTTGCTGTGCCACAGAAATCATTCTATTTGTGGATATTCACAAAGTAAGATGGAATTTTTAAGAGAGCTTTCCAAAGATGAAACTGGATTTTTTATATCTTCTTTATATCTCCCTTAAAGTGATAAGACTGCCATTCTGACATTTTTAAAGGACGTGGAAATTTCTCTTCTGATCTCTCTTACGAGGATTGCAAAATATGTTCACCCCCTGTTATATAACCCCTTTGCCTGCCTTTCTTATTTGGCACTAGGTCAAAAGACAGGTCTAGAACAAATGTGTTATAACTACTGAGTTGATAAAAATAACTGATATTTTCAGGGATTGAGGAGGTCAAATAAAGTGTGATGCGATTTCATTAGTTCTCCAGTACTTCTTCTAATCATTCCTGAAGAAGGTTAATATTAAACCTAATATGTTTTGAAATCCCTGGCCTAATAATACAATAAAAATCTACAGACTGTAACAGAAACTAATACACTTTCTCAAGCTGATCGTCAGTGTCAACTATACTAAAATTGCTAAAATGAAATGAATACATTACTTAAGAGTCCGTCCTGCATTTCATTCTATTTCAAATGGTGGATTTTTTTTTTCATCTCACATATGCCATAAACTAATACAGAGGGCAGATCAAAAAGGTATGCCATTTTTAATAAAAGTAGAAATCTAAATAACTACTAAATGCTTTCATAAATTGCCATTTTCCTTAAATACAAGAAGGAATGCTTTACTGGTCCACACCAAGGTCATTCTGGTGTCCCTAGTAGTTACAATCACATTGACTTCTTTCTGAATCAATGTAAAATTTTATTTCCAAAGTTTCATTTGCAATTATCTTGCTTTTCAGTAGTACATCTCTGCACCCACCCGTGTGACCCAATTCTGGTCCAGTTCAGTGTAATATCAAATCCTCATCCAAGACACAGGAAAAACTCTCCCTGAAGGAAAGACTCTTCCTGAAAGAAAGACTATAGCCAATTTTTATAAGCTAAAACTAGAACAAAGCATGAATTATTATCATGTCAAACCATAAAGATTAGTGCCATTTTTGGAAGATTCTGAAAACATCAAATTACCATGAAATATGTCCAGAAATATGAAGCCTAGCTAATTCGATGAAAAGACTTTTCCCAGCCTAATAGAAATGTTGGGATTAGTTTCCATGATGAGAGGCTAAAGATAACTCTTGAACACACATTTGGATCAAACAAATGTGTCTGTCTCTTCTGCTTCATCAAGCAGGCTACCCCTTTGGTATTGGGAGCTTGACTTTAACACACATGTAGGATTTCACATTTCATTACTGACAACTTTTCCTGTAAAAAAAGATCACAATACAAAGCACAAACCTGTACATCATAGGTCCCGTTTAGTAAAACAGGCCTTGAGGAACTGATATCCTGCAACACACCAGAAAGCACAGATCGGTTGACTTTCTGGAAGTCTTTGGAATGGCTGAACTGCACCATGTTATGAAGGGCCAGGATTTTGCTGTCCAGCTCAGCATCCTGCCTGGTGCGGTTATGCAGTCCTAAGTGATACTTTCGGAAGTGCTTAATCAGATCTGTGGGGTCGTTGCCATAGTAACCGTATCCACAGATATTGCATTTAAAGTCCTGAAGCTCTGGAGACAGAGGTGCCGGGTCTGGGTTGTCATTAACCAGTACATCGGTTTTCGATTTATTCAGTCTGACACCCCCATCTGAAGGCACTTGTGGGTTTTTTGAGGCCGCTGAAACTGGGCTTGAGCCTTGACAATTGGCTTGACCACTCTGCGCTAGCCCTGTTTCCTCTGTAGCCTTCGGTGACATCTTCTGGTCTTCCTTCATCTCCAGTGAGTCCCCTGACGGGGTGCAGGCCATATCTTGAGGGTCATCTGCCTCTGCTCTTTGAGGAGACTTCAAGGGCTCACAGACTCCCCCAGCAGCTGGAGATGAGAAAGCCAACATATTTCTCTCTGTCACCTCATCATGTGAATAGGAGGGAAGGTTTCCTCCCTTACTGGGGCTTTCATAATTAAAGCCAGCCTTCTCACTCAGGACTGAGCTTTTCAAGTCCTTCTTGCTGCTAGAAGATGGATCCTGGACATGCAAGCTATGTTCCTCCTTATTATTGAGTTCTGCAGCATCACTCTGATCCGTAGTTTCTGACATCTGATCTGCAGAAAATTCTTTGTTCTTTCCAGGTCCCTTGCTTTCTGTACCGACAGGCTCCAGGGTCTGACCCTCGCCTTCACTAGCAATGTTTCTCAGAGGGGGGTTCTTTTTCCGGACCATATCTGTAAAAACACAAGAGAAAGGAAGATACAGGGTTATTTGAAATTTGCAGGCATGTAATCTAATCGAGAACAATTTCCTTACTCTATTCAAGGCTTTTTAAGGCACAGAACAAAAAATTGTCTCTAGGAAAAAAAATCAGTTTTAAAAATAGCAAAAAAATGAAACTGAAGCCAACAATTTACATTTAGAATTATTTTTGTCACAAAGGGTGGCTCATTTATTACTTTAAAATGGTTTCATGAGTATCAAGGTATTAACTATTATTACTAGCTCTATCCTCCTATAAGTTCATCTTGCCTGCCAATTACACTCTTTGCTCAGTTTCTTTCTTCAGTTAGAGTTGACAGATAAATGTGTCTATATTTATCCATGTTATATACTATGTGTAATATGTACACATGTTATGTTTATAGAGTATATATAGTTGTTTATGTTTACAGAATATATGTTTTGTGTTTATTTATATGATATGTATATGTGTATATAAACAACTATAAAGTGAAACTCAATACTGTTACACACTGCGCAACCAAGATATAAATATAGTTTTAACCAAAATATCATCAGAGTCAAAAGACAGAAAGAGCATGTTATAAACAAAGTGAAAAATGCCTCTTTACTTTTAGAAATGGAGGATAACAAACGTTTCATCTCTACCCTACCGATAAATTATGTTAAGCCCCCTTTTGAGGGAGCTTGCCTGAAAGAAGGGGAAGCTGGTACACATCAAAGTGACCAGACTGGGCTTTGCTAGTACTCCATCCTGCATGATGGAGACCCACTTGAGCCTAGGTTTCCAGGCACAGTGTAGTGGAAACAATACCAATCCCACCATTAGGAACACAATGGAAATTGACTAAAGGAAATAATTCAGTTGAACCATGTGACATTGTCATTCTGGCAAACTGTTAGCAGTTGCCTATGGTACACCCTCACATGCTAGCTCAACTGTGCCTTTTTTAGGGTCCACAGAAGAAAACTGTGGGGAGTCTAACGAATCAGAAATCTAAGGGAGTTATCTCTAAGGAGATAAGAAACAAACTGTATCCTGTCAATAAAAGAATGCAGTAACAACGGCTTGTGGAGAACTGATGTTCATGGCCTGTGTTCCTTAATTCTCCAACCAAACAACTGAAAGAACTCTGTATGCCATCACCCCAACTGTCTCTCAGAAAAATCCACCTGTAGACTAACCAATAAACCAAGCCTTCTTTACTAGCTGACATTACCACAAGGGCAGATTTAAGAGAGAGAGTTACATGATTATCCAAAATGTCCTTTACTGGAGAATCCAAATCAACAGCACATTTCAGTTGTTCTCATGTATAATTTCTCACAAGTGCTTAAGAACCACACTGGCTTCGGATATGTGGGTAAATCTTTGCTTGTGAAAAGCTGCTTATGCAAAATTTTTATAAAATGAATCACTGAACCAAGACAACGCACTAGATAGAATAAGGAATTGGTTAGAAGGTAAGAATTCACTTTCTTGAATAATGTCACAAACAGTATAACAGTACTTAAGAGAATACACTGCTCTTTTATGCCAGAAACATCAGTCATCTAATATTCAAAGACTCTCTCACTTAGAACAATAAACCAAAAAGAAAACAACTACTTATAGGATGAAAGGCTGCAGTTTCAAGGGAAGGTGATAGTCATGAACCATGTAAGCCAGTCTGGCAAGGGGATAGGGCATGGAGTGTGGTCTTCACCTTGGTGTCACAACCATTAGCTCCTAAAGTTAACTAAGCCATGCAACCATCATTTAAAAAAAAATGGAACACTGGTTAAATAATTTATAACATTTGCATTTTAATGTCTCATTTGCTGATGTTGACATTTTAGGAGACTTCTATTTTTCTGTCAGAAGAGACAGCGCTTGGGAACTTGTACCAATGAATGGAAGACTGGAAGGCAGTTTCACTGGTAGTCAACAAAGGGAAAACTAAGAAGGAAAGAAAAAAAGAGAATAAAAGGGAAGCTTGAGAAATAAGCTATGGCCTAAAATATAAGAGTTTGAGTAAAAAATATACTGTTTTAACTTGACCTACAGAAAAGGAAATCCTAATTTACAGGGTATCAGCCATGCCTACATACAAAAATGTGATGATTGTGTATGCCTTTCCCTCCAGAATTTCCTGTTTGTTTTTCCATTGGATTTAACATTGCTTCCATCATATAAATAAAATCCAACAGTGATGCACCAAAATGACATAAATACTGCTACATAGAAAAGATAAAAATCTATATGAAAGTCAGGATTCATGAAGAAAAGAGGATGAAATAATCCAATTCATTAAGATTATCCTTCTATTAAAATGAAAAGAAAATGGTTTATTTTGTTGCTGTTGTTTAATCACTAAATCATGTCCAACTCTTTTGCAACCCCATAGACTGTGGTTCACCAGGCTCCTCTGGCCAAGGGATTTCCCAGGCAAGAATGCTGGAGTGGCTTGCCATTTCTTTCTCCAGAGGATCTTCAGGACCCAAGGATCGAACCCATGGTTCCTACATTGCAGGCAGATACTTTACCACTAAGCCACCAAGGAAGCCCCAAAATGGTTTATGCCCACATATCGAGGTCAAGGAGATGAGAAAAACAGCGAGGTCTTACATAGCAATGCAACTAAGATAAAACATTTATTAGAGATGAACAGATAGTAATGTGTTAATAATTGAAAAAATTAATATATTTTCCAAAAAAATACATGGATCTTGCTGATTTATTATCATCATGAGGAAAAGTAATTGGTTATAGTTAAAAAACTATTCAACAAGCATTTATCTTGAGAGAAAATATGATTTGCTTAAATTATCATCCTTCCAAATTTCAGTGCCTTCTTCCACCCAAAAACAGAGCTTTACAACTCGTATGAGTCACTGAATAAGGCCCTTAATAATATACATTGCAAAGAATGTTAAACTGCTAAAACTTCAAAGAAGCATCAGAAAGGTCACTTAGTTTTTTTTGTTTTTTTTTTTTTTGCTGTGGAGGGACGAGGCATGTTCTTTTTAGTTGCTTTTAAAAAAATCATGGTTAATTTACTTGACTACACTTTGAAGTAGTTAGAGAAAAAATAATTTTTTACTGGAATGATATCGCCATAATTTTTCAGAATGACATATTATGTAAATATAAGCACATTTGCAATACTTTTAAGTGGAAGAAACTCCCCTAGCAACTCATAAGTTAGATACCGTAAGACTAGACCCACCCTCAAGTTATTATCTCTAAGACAAATAACAGATTGCATGACGTTGTACTGTGTGCCAAGAATTTTTCCAGTTAACATTTTCACTTGAAAAAATAGATCACATACTTGTAAAATCATACCCAGCATTGACTTCATAAGGCATGTGGCTTTAGAGTGCTTTTTACAATTATTAATTCTATTAGTCAACTAGCAGGAGGGCTAATGCAATTGTCTTAGAAGATGCTCAGAAGACACAGAAGACATTTTGAGAGCTGATCTGTACATCTGCAAAACAAAACAAAAAAATATTTTCCTTCCTAAATGATGTAAACATATTTGAATGGATCACACCTAAAATACATTAATATGCCAGCACCGCAGGCTGCTTGAAAGATACCTGATAAAAGCAGAAGCAAAGCTTGGGCAAGATTTTCTCCCTCCCCTGGGTTTTAATAAAGCAGCAGGAGAAGGAGGAACACAATACAAAAGATTAGAGAAGTCATTCTCACAGCTGACTGTGATGTTGGCAAAATTAGTTAAGCTCGAACTCCCCCTGAAACCTAAGAACCACAATACTTACCTATACTGGAGTGGGGATAAAACATTTTAATTAATAATTATAGAGGGGATCTGCTTCTGGAAAAGATACGCAGTACACCTGCCAATGCTGCACAGTCACAGCTAAAGCCAGGGAGTGGTACCCATGACCAGTTTCCTACAGATTCATAGTACCAGTGCACATATGCCATGAGGCTGAGAAGAGAACGATTTCAATGTCCTAAGGAATTCTGTATCAGATCTAAGTACACCTTACCAAGAGTTACAGAAACATTACACCTTATGTGTTACCTTTCTATCTATTTTCATTTTGATAAATAAGGTTGTAAAGTTATGACTCAACCAGCATTTAACCATCCTTATATCATCATTTTTATTGTCTGAAAGTATTGAGGTAGGGTCATAACATAATTAAACAGATGTGTGTGTGTGTGTGTGTGTGTGTGTGTGTGTGTGTGTGTGTGTGAATGCTAAGTCACTTTAGTCTGTATTAGACTCTTTGCAACCCTATGGATTACAGTCCAACAGGCTCCTCTGTCCATGGAATTCTCTAGGTAAGAATATTGGAGTGGGTTCCCATGCCCTCCTCCAGGGGAACTTCCCGACCTTAGAATCGACTCTGTGTCTCCTGAGTCTTTTGCACTGGCAAGTGGATTCTTTACCACTGGTGCCACCTAGGAAGCCATATATATATGTATAATCACATCAGTGTACCTTAGTCATCAGTTTTGGCAACTCTTAAACTTTTTCATTCTATTATACAGCAATATTCCTCACACTGACTCCCATAAAATTTCAAAATGACAATCAAAGTAGGTCCACTATAGACAGTCATTTAGGCAACAGGGCAATATATGAATAAAAAGTGAATGGACAAAGAAGCTGAAGAATCTGAATGAGCACTCCAAAGCTCAAAAGTGACAACTTCAGTCCTCTATTTAATTATGAGATAAAAACTGACCGGGGAACTGGCTAGGAGTGTGGAGGGTGATAGTGACCATTCCCACATTTACATCATTTTCCACCTATACTAACACATGAACACTATTATGTGCCATGACGGTTCAATTCAGTTCAGGTCAGTTGCTCAGTCATGTCCGACTCTTTGCAACCCCATGAATCGCCAGTCCTCCCTGTCCATCACCAACTCCCAGAATCTACCCAAACCCATGTCCATTGAGTCGGTGATGCCATCCAGCCATCTCATCCTCTGTCATCCCCTTCTCCTCCTGCCCCCAGTCCTT